AAACCAAAAGCCTGTGAGAGTGTCCAGAATGGGACGCAGCTTGTTGAACGGTCTCAGCTGGGAGGTACAAGTGACAACTAAGCCTGTTCTCTTACTCTGTATTTGAGTATCTCATTCCTGGGTACCCATCTCACACTGTCAATTTGTGTTCCACTCCCCACTTTACTGAGCAGATATTATAGTTTAATAAATATCTGCTGTAAATCCATGAGTTCAAAGTCTCTGTCTGATGGATCTGAGCAAATCTGGTTGTTTTGGACACCTTGGTTATAGACAATAGATTTTGTAGTGTATTCTTTCCTTGTGCACAATTCTTCATATTTACCAAAGAACATTTTGCAGGGTAGGATGTGGTTCCTGGGACAACAGAAATGGAAAGGAATCACATGCGGCCCATAGGCCTATTGTTGCTCATTCCTTATGTAGACAGCGGCCTTCATAGCAAGCATCTCCACTGGAGAAAAAGTGCAACACCTTTTATACTCAAAACATTCAAATTAGTGGCTTCAATTCTTCCCCTGGCAAATATTGTGTGTGTTCTTTCTGTGTGGGCACACACAATATTTATGTCCCTTCCTCAGCTGGGTTGGTGCCATAGAGTGATGCTCTTGGGAGTGATAAATCCTTCTGCTCTATAGCCAAGCCCACCACAATAGCGTAACATTTCCTGTGTTCTCCCCCACATCATCTTCCCTTTTTAACTCCCTCGTGATAAGAGTTGCTACCAAACTAAGTCCCCTAAGCTGGAGGAGGATGCCATATTGAAACAAATGTCATATTTCTTGTTTCACTTATTCGTTTCTACTTGAGGTAGAAGGGCATGAGACAAAAACTCAAGCATGAGGTCTCCACATCTCATATCCACAGAAATCTGGGAGTGAAGTAAGATTTTCTCAGGCTCCCAAACTTACAATTTTGCTTCAATATGCAGTGAAGCAATTGAGTCCCCATACATATACACCCTCACAACACCCACAACACCCCCACATGCACAACAGACCTGGAAGACTGAACAGGTGGGCTACTTTCACATTTAACATTTCAACACAAAATAACAAATGGGAGTTAATGGGGAAAGAATGGCTTCTAACCCTGCATACGACGGCAACCTAGTAGTTGCAAAAAGCAGTTCACAACATAGAAATAGGAGATGGAGGTCTAGTTACTCAAAGACTCCACCCTGACATAGAAAAGGGTACACACTCCCCATAACTAGACTGTAACTAAACATAAATACTACATCGGTGAGAGACAAGGAAAGTTAATTTGCTGGCTAGGGAACTCTGGCCTGAAAATATACACTGTTCTACACAGTAAAATGCTGTGCAAATGAAAATATTTCATAATCTCTAGTTAAGCCATTTAACTCCCCATCTCCATTCTAAGCTGCAGCCCCTCTCTGACATTTAGAAGCCCTGGATGAAGCCCTGTTCTGAGACAGAGGAAGAAAGGATAATTTTAGACATTTAGTCAGTACCATCATGTACAGTACTATCAGGTCTACTTGGTGTTCTGAGGAGATCTGAGATGTAAATTGGGAGAAAACAGGATTAGCAGATATGTATTAAAAACCAACAACTATTATTATTACTAGATCTCTCTTGTAAATTTGTACTTGTAACATCTCTGTTCTCCAACGAACCTTCTCTCTTCCTCTTTTACATTTTAACCGAGAGCTTTGCTCCAAGTCCATACACAGTGATCATTTTGTCTGTTACAGAGGGTCAGCAATTTTGTGGGGATGGATTTAGGTTGAGGTGAAGAAAGGCTCAACCTCCTCCACAGAACCACAGCTCTTACCCAAGCTGCTGTTACTTGCAATGAGGGCAGAGAAGAGAGATGGTTGCCCGATTTGAACCTGTCTTTCCCCACTTTATAGCTGATAGCTTTTTAAAGTAGGAGATTTAATATTCTGGGTCATGATATGGGTCCTGTTAAGTATGAGAGGTCCTTACTCAGGAAGGAAATGGCCTGGAAATTGAGGTTGAAGACTTTAGCCCCTTCTGGGCTAAATGAAGAAATAGAATTCTTGCCCTTACTATAAGACAGCCCCACTGTCCCGCTGATTATCTCACTGTCCTTGACTTGTCTTCCAGCTGTAAACACTTGGTATGTATCTTATATGTTGTCATTCAGCTATATATTACACAATAAATTGCTAACATGCTCTGGATTATGGAGAAAGCTAGAGAGCTCCAGAAAAACATCTGCTTCTGCTTCATTGACTAGCCTTTGACTGTGTGGACCACAGCAGATTACGGCAAGTTCTTAAAGAAATTGGAGTGCCTGACCTCCTTATCTATCTCCTGAGAAATCTATATGTGGGACAGGAAGCAACAGTTAGAACTGGATATGGAACAACTGATTGGTTCAAAACTGGGAAAGGAGTACATCAAGGCTGTATATTGTTTCCCTGCTTATTTAACTTATATGCAGAATACCTCATATTAAAGGCCGGACTGCAGCAATCCCAAACCGGAATTAAGATTGGCAGAAGAAA